CTTTCCGTTCACACAGGAACTTCAGCCGCTGGGCCCGCTTGTGCATGAAGACGCCGTCCAGATGCCCCGCCTCCACTGTGCGGATCTCAATGGCTTTTTCGCCCCCGCCTATGAGCTGATTGGAGCGGATGTATGCTAGAGAGAAAGGGGTGGCATCGTTTGGGTCGGCGGCAGAGCGGCTTCCTCTCTGCTCTGCGGCTTTAAGTCACACCAAGGCGAAGAACCGGGCCCCTGCAGAATAGGCAGGCCTCTGGGGGACCCCCCTGTGCCGTCTCCTCCCCAAGGAAGAGGCGGCCCTTGCATTGGGGTATGGGCTGGGGGGCACCATCCACAGCCCAGGGAAGGGTCCCTGAGTTTGGGCAAAAGTACCCTGATCAGCAGGAGAAGCTAATTTAATTCTTCCTTGCTGGAAGAGTCACAGTTTGGGGAACAGCCAGAGAGAGAGAGTGACAGGTTTTCCCAAGTAAACAAAGGTTTAACTAATTTGGGTTCAGGATACATTGTTTTTGGGCCTCCTGGATGAAAAAGGCGTGCAAATCACAACGCAGAAAACTTAAATTCAAAAGAGAAGAACATGGGGAAACATTTCATACTTTCAGATCTCTTGGGCTTTGGACATGGAACGAAACCAACGTGGTGGAAACAGGGAGCAAGAAAACCTGGGAAAATGTTGGCTTACAGTTGCAACAAAGTCAATTAATGCTTTTGATAGGAGATCAGTGTATATTTTACGTGAACCTGGCGTGGTGAGCAGAGATAGCTTTTTTAAATGTAATAAATATTTCGGAAATTTCCGTGGAACGGTCAGGCGGTTCAGTGGAGCACTGCAGGGCATCTACGGGACTGCATACGCAGGGAAATCTGGAAAGGCCAGCCGGACAGGATAACCCTGGAACGGTGTTCTCTGTTGGGCTTTCCACGGAAACACAGGCTGGACGGCTTCGTACAATGGAGCAGGATCATCGCCACTTTGAAAGTTGGAATGGATGCTACCAGCAGCCAGGCTGTGGCCCAGCATCTCTGTCCAGCGCTGGTGCTAAGATTTTAAGAGCTTTGCTGGCAAGAAGGCGGCCTGGCTTCACGAAAGGGTGTCAAGCGGCAGAGATGCAAGGCTCCAACCTCAGGCGCCAGCAGACACGAATCTGTGACGCTGGCTGGGTCAGATACCGAAAGTGGGGTCCGAGTAAAATGCTGAGGACCTGGAGAATTATTTAGTTCAGCCAGAAATTCTCTCCAGGGTCTCTCGGACCCCACAAAGAAGGATGAAAAAAGGCTGGGCCTCCCTCTTTCTCGCCGCAGAGACCAATACGTTCAAAGGAACTTTGGGACACAGATCATGGGTCGGCCTGCTTGTCAGTCCTCATCGCCTAGACAGCGAACCAGGCTCTTGCAGGCCAATTAAGGATTAAATGTATTTATGTTGTGCTATAACTATATCCCCACAATCTGGAAGTGTTCAGTCTAGGGATAGCTTTGTGTCTGTCTAGCCTGGACTGTTGCAAAACAGCGGATTGTGGACTTACGGAAGAGTGCTTGCGTCCTGGGCTCCTAAGGTCGGTTTAATAAAATTATCAGCTCTCAGACTTTGAATTAGTGGCAACGCTCAACAGTATGATTCAGTTTGGTTGGGGTTCAATTCACTGCTTAAAAACTGAATCATCATGATGAAATTGAAGAAAGTTACATGACTTTTAATAGCCTCGTATGTGCTTATCTTTAAATAGCTTGTAAACGTATGCATAAATACAAAAAAGATTTAATCTAGATGTTTTGAATTAAAAGTAATTAATTCATGTGTTTTGAGTTGTTAGTTGTTCTCTGTCTTTTTAAAAGAGGTTTTGTGTCTTCCAGATTTTTAAAATCTTATTTTCCTCTTTTTCCCCTAAGTAATTCAGTATAGAGTTTTCTTGGTTTTTTTTGTTTTTTTTTACTACTGTAGATAGCTTTTACGTAATAGGTTAGGGTTTTTTTATTTAAAGTATATTATACATGTGTAAGGGCCAGGGAGGCATGGTGAGGTTTGGGAGTGTGCGTGGGGGTGTGTGAGATACAGCGAGGGTCATGGAGGGTGCGGGGATGCGCGAGGGTGTGAGGGATGCACGGGGGGTGCGAGTGGCTGGCACAGTGCAAGCGCAGAAAGGCTGGGGGAGGATGTGCAGGTGGGGGAGATGTACCCCAGCAACTTGCAACCTTCTCTGCCAGCTTCCCCATTGACTTTCTGGGGAAGCTGGCAGGGAAGGTCACAAATGGTGATCACCTGATCGCAGGGCGCTGCAACTGGTCATAAGAGCTGGTTGCCAAGCACCCAGATCGTGATCGCGTGATCGCGGGGTTGTTGGGATGGGGAGGACCGGTTGTAACTACCATTCATTCAGCACTGTTGTAACTTTGAGCAGGTCGCTGAACAAATGGTCGTAAATCAAGGACTACCTGTATTTTAAAAAATCCCTGAGTTAGAAGCCAGTCCAACCTCCAGCTGATGGTATTCAGGGCAATGGCTGTCTGGTCTCCACTAAAACTCCTCCAGTGAAAGAAGCCCTCCCCAGCACCAGGTTGCAGATCCCACTGCCCAACTGCATCTGTCTTCCTTTAACTTCAACCCCGATTCTACATCCTGCTCTCTGGAACCCAGTCCGCACCCCCCAAACCCTGCAGACCTTGACCCTGAGGCTGTGACTCATTTCTGAGTCTGACTGATGTTTGTATCTATGGTTGTGGTTCCCCTAACATGGGCTGTTAATGCTGATGATCTTGACTGTTTTTTTGTTTGCTTTTAAAATGCATTATTCTATGGCACTGAGGTGCCCAATATATCAATCAATTAAAAAAAATACACAACGGGACCAAAGAAGCCTTGATGTCCTTCTGCACAGCCTCCTCCTCCTGTTCCCACCCCCCACCCCCAGCCCTATCTCTAGGCTAAAACACGCCCAGCTACTTCCATCTTCTGAGGTTTTGTCCCCTGAGCCCCTTGGCTCTTTTCTGAACACATCCGTTTTTCCAAATCCTTCATGGTTATGGTGCTCAGGACTCAAAGGGGGGTCTGATCAGGGCAGAATAAAACAGAAACATTACTTCCTGGGATTTGGAAACTACATTTAAATTGAGGGAGCCTAAAATTCCATTTGCCTTTTTTGCAGGCACATTAGTTGCTGATCCACCTTTGGTTTGCAATCTACTCCTACGCTGATATCTTCTGCACAGGTGCTGTTACCCAGCCAGACATCCCCCATCCCATATCAGTGCATCTGATCTCCTTCCCTGGTGCTGAAACCCCAGAGCTCGGATGACGCCCCCAAGCTCACCGACAGAGGTGGGCATCTCCCCCCACTGCAAGACAACATCCTTGATGATGCGCCCGTAGGTGTTGACATAGACACCCTCATCCTCATAGCAGAGAAGCATCTCCATCCCATCTGTGTTGGGTAAAAAGACGATGGCATGCGGGGTGATCTGAGACTGGATCTGTGAACCAAGAAGGAGCAACAGGGTCGCTGACAGGGGCAGGGCAACAGTGGGGCCCAGGTTCCAAAGATACCCCTCCCCACTCACATGGACTGGGATGTAGATGTCATAGTTGTTTCCTGAGTCCACATCAATGGCGTGGAAACCGGCACATGACCCATAGATAACCTTGAGCCGCTGGCCTTCCTCTACTGTCAACTCCACCAGCAGCGGCCGATGAGGCAGGTCAGCGAAGGACTACAGGGCACGCACAAAGGGAGATAAATTACCCACCCCGGGCTGCCTGGGGTCAGAACAGTGAAAGCTCCAGCAGCTCCACCTTCTGAGCTCCTTCCACTCGCCACCCCAGTACCTTGAAGGCCATGAACTTGTGGTAGGGCTTCGGTGCCCAGGCATAGACTTCCACCGAGCTCTTGAGTGCAATCACCAAAAACTTGATCCGCTCATACTTCACTGTAGGACAGAGGGAATCCCGTTAAGGCAGAACTTCCTAGCCCTCGGGGGCTCAAGAAGAAAGGAACAGGGTCAGAACCAGGTTCCCCTGCCCCTCAGGGAGTTCCTGTTGCTTAGGGGAGATTGGAAAATGGGGTGGCTCCGTGATGCTCGTTTTGGACACAGAGATCTGAAAGATGAGCCCCCATGGGATGGCTCTTTCAAAGCACTGCCCCCCGCTCACCCACGCGATAGTGAATGCAGCCCTCCATGTCTCCCACAGTAGTCCAGCCTTGCTTCTTCTCCACTTCCGGGTCGTTGTGCAAAATCTTGTTCCGCAGCCAGGAGAGGTAATAGACCCGCAGCTTGTTCCTCTTTCCTAGAGATGCAAGGGAACAGATGGGGTGGGAGCAGTAAATCACCACTACTCTTAGGGAAGGGAGGAAAGGAGGAAGCGGGCCAGGTGTGGAAGGGGCCCAAAGGGAGTGGTAGGGCTTGGGGTTCATCAGCTCTCCCCATTTCCCAGTAAGCCCTGGTCCTTGCCCCTCTCTCAAGCCTGGTGGCCTCTTACCTGAGATGGTGGTCAGGAGGTTGAGGCCCTCCAAGACGTCCATCTGCTGGAAGCGGCGGCGGTTGATGAGGCTGTAGACTTTGCCCTGCCCGCTGCGGTCCAGGAGCATCAGCCCGTTCTCAGTGCCCACCAGCAAGTTGACTCCTATAGGCCCCGGCCGAGGGGGAAGCAGAAGGTGAGTGGCCTGCCGCAGGAGCCCCCTCCCCAGCAACCCCCGCTCCAGCCCTCACCCCAAAGGGCCGCACAGAGGATCTCGGAGTTGAAGCGCTTCTTGTACTTGCGGATCTCTGGCGTATCGCTGTGGGGCCGCGTGTTGGTGGGGTTTACGTTGACCACGGAGCCCTTCCGGGCCTCCAGCTGCAGCTGCTCCAACCGCCCAGGGTCGAATGCTGCGGGCCGGAGGAGGCAAAGAGAAAAGGCTCAGTGGCTGGAGAAAGAGGGACAGCGGCCTCTGTGTAGATGGCGCTGGAAATGCAGGCGGTGACTTTCACGGCCAGGTTGCTGCCCGAGGACCCCGCCAACCAGACACAAGCGGGGAGATGAATGGGAACTGCTGGGGGGCCTGCGGACCGGTGCGCACAGCCTTGGCTCAATTCAAGGCAATTCGGGTTCAGGCACTGAACGGGCCTGGCAGATCCTGAAAGAGGTCCCATGGGCAGCTTGGGCTCCTCGCAGGACAAGGCCGAGTTCTGTCCTGAAAACTCCAGACGCGCCAAACAGGTGCCCATCTCCTTCCTGCAAGGAAATCTCCCCTCCTCATGCCAGCCCCTCACTCACCAGTTATGGGGATGGTGTCTCCTCCCCCAGGGGAGCTTTGATAGATGCCCAGATCCACAAACATGGTGAAGGAGCTTTTGCCAGGAGCCTTGACAAGCCCCCGGGATTGGTACTGCAGGCGGGGGGGGGGAAGAGAGGCATCAGCAGAGGGGCCGTTTCCAGAGGGCAGAGTAGTGCCCACACCCACATGCATAGCCTCCGCTTCCTCAAAGCGTGCCTAATCTTGGTTTGCCAGCACGTCCCTGGTGACAACCCAACTCTGAGGACCTTGGGCAAAGCCTGGGCAATAACTGGCAGGTGAGCTGTGGCTGAGAAGAAGCCCATGGAGATCCAAGGCCCCAGGGCAGCCCCAACCAGGTCACACTCCCTAGGCTTTGCCCCAAGGCCCCCTCTCCCACGTCTCGGGCTTCTTGCTGACTCACATCAGTGGCCACGTCCTTGGCCGGTGAGGAAGAACCATTGCTGCTTTTGGCTTCTGTGGGCGAGTGGCTGGGCTGAACCACATCAGGCAAGTTGGTGTAGCCGTTGCTGTCGCTGTGCAGGAGGCCACGCTCCTCTTCGGGAGTCTGGAGAAGGCAAAGAGGAGCCCCGAGGCTGGGTCAGGCCAAGACTGGGCAGCCCCCCTCAGCCTGATCACACTGCAGCCCACCAGATGCAACTGGGAAGCTTACTGACAGGGGCAGACCGCCACATCAGCAGCCCTCTCAGCCAGTAGCCAGGGAGCAGTCCTGGTCCTGCAAATACCAGCCTAACCCCTCTTAAGGGGAAACTGGGTTTCAAGGGGGGGGGAAGGACGTCCGTCCTGGCCTGTGATAGCTTCAGGCCCAGCCCAATTTTAGTCGAGAGGGGCCTGGTCGGATTCGCCACCTGCCATGCCAGAAGCAGGAAAGGGTGCCCCGGGGATGCAGGTGGGTGAGGGGGGTTGCTTACCCGCTGTACCAGCATGGTGCCCTCGCCGTAGGAGCTCTCTGAGCCACCGCTGCCGCCCCCCGTCAAGTCTTCCACGTCGTGCACCACCATGGTGCTGACCGAGTCCGTGTCCCCGTCCCTGCAACCGAAGAAGCGGGCACAGGAGCGCTGCCATCAGGGGTTCACGAGGCCTTGCCCCCGAGAGGGAAGCAGGAGAGCGGCAGACAACCCCCATGCCTCCCGCCCCTCACCTAGCCCCAGGGGTGTTCGCGCCAGGCTCAGAGCGCTCTCCCTCGCCGGCTTCCTCCTCCTCCTCCTCGTCCTCCTCCTCGCTGGAGTCAATCTCTTCGCTGGAGGAAGAGTAGTCCAGGGCCTTCTTCAGCGGCTTGGGGGCCGCCTCCTCCGGGCGCTCCTTGAGCAGGACAAAATTCTAGAGATGCGGGGGGAGTGTCCAAACATTTATCAAAGCACCAAACCATCCGGGGCCTTGGGGGGACGGTCTGCCTCCAATGCCCAAGAAACGGCCCCCCTGCAGGCTGCCAGGAACCTTTGAGGGGCGTCAGGCATCAGAGAGCGGGGAGTCTAAAGGTGCAATCACCCCACTGCTGACAGAAAGGGGATGCTACTGATGCCCCCATCCCCTCCATAGCAAGCGCTGGCCGGGAAACTGACCCCGGGCACTTTCCCAAAGCATCAGGACGGAAGGGCGCATGCGGCACACGTGCACGGCAGGCCAGGCTGGCTGCAACGTAGGAAGCAGCAGGTGGGGACTGAGAACTGGGTGGGAGCTCTGAGGCAGCAGGTGCACGCAGCCCCCCAAAGCTTTGTTAGGGGCAGGAGAGTCCGAGAAGAGGCAGGTGGCAGGGGGTGGGAATGGGGAGGTGGCACTAACCTCACCAATTGCCCGCTTATAGCTCTGAGTCATGCAGAAAGAAAAAAGAAGGAAGGAAAAGATTAGGCTGCTGTTCCTAGGGCACTCTGCCACCCCCTCCCCAGAATGCCAGGCCAGCTGCTCTGGGCCCTGCTTTGTCCTGGAGCAGGAGACAAGATGGGCTGTTCCCATTTCTTCCCCCTCCACAAAACATTATTCCCCATTCCCACCTGACACGTGGCCAACCCCCCCCCAATGCTTTTCTGGCCACTCTGCAGATCCCCAC